GGCAGGGGGCTGTGGGGCGGGACTGAGGGGCACTGGCAGGGCTGGGGGAGTGGGGCTCAGGGTTTGGACTGAAGGGCACCAGCATGGTCTCCCCCCACTGTCTCTCAGGTCCAGGGCTTCGTGCAGAGGAAGCAGCTGGGCCCGGAGCAGGACGTGACGCTGGAATTGCAGCGGGTGAATGGGGGGATGGAGCGCAAGGTCTGGTAGCTGGGAGCCATCGCCCTCTTCTGCCTGCTGCGCCACAGCCTCCTGGGGTGAGTCCCCCACTCCCTCGCTCTGTCTAATCTGCCCCGTCCCTGTCCCCCCACGCTGGCGCTCTCCCCCACGGATAGCAGGGCCCTGGGGCTGACTGTCCCCTCTTGGAGTGCCCCAGGGGCTGGATCCCCATATGGAGGGAGCCCCCTGGCCTTAGGGGGGAGTACCTTGGATGGAGGGTGTCTGGTGAGATGGGGGGTGCCTGAGGGTGGGGGGGTTCAGGGGCTGATCCTTGGCGTCCCTGACCCAGGCGTCCCCCACCTGCAGGTCCCGGCCCACGAGCTCTCCATCCATAGGCTGGGCCGGATGGCGCTTGCCCAGCACCGGGCCTCCCTCATTGTGTGCCAGGCTTCCGGCTTCCCTCTCTACAAGGTGAGACGCACACTTGGTGGAGCAATGGGGCAGGGAGCGCGGAGGTCCCCCCACAGGGTGGGAGTGAGACCCTCTTCTGGGGGGAGATGGGATGGGGGGCCCTGGAGGAGGGGGTGGGGCAGGAGCACCCCCTAGTTTATTCTGCATTAAACCTCCCTAGAGCCCCATGGGGGGTGATCTTGGGGGGGGGGGGCAGGCCCTGTCTCCCCTCACCCCCGTCTCTGTCTGTCTCTGCCCCAGACCCTGGAGCACCTCCTGCCCCACATGGCTGAGCTGAAGAAGGAGCTGCTGGCCCTGCGTGCCCAGCTGGGCTACAAGAGCCAGGCGCTGGCCAGCCTGCAGCAGCACCAGGGCTCCCCGGGGACCGACGCACAAGGTGAGATCCCCTCCATGGCTCCAGACGGGCAGGGGGACGCCCCCCCTGCCTGAGGACCCTTCCCAGGGTCTGCAAGGGGCACCCTCCTGGCACACAAGCCGGCCTGAGGGGCCGCAGGACCATGGCATCCACCCAGCAGCTCAGCACCCTCCCCGCCCCCCCAAAGCCATACCTCCTCCAGGCCTCACCGACGTCTCTTCCCCCAGCCCTGGTGCAGGCCCTGCGGGACCACGACCGGGAGCAGGCCGGAGCCCTGGGGCCGCGGATCCGGCTGGTGACGGAGCAGTGCGAGCAACGCATCGAGCGCTGGCCTGAGGTGCAGGCCGCCATCGACGCCTGGTGAGGAGGCCCCACCCACCTGGTTTGTGGGACGTCAGGAGGGACTGATGGGGGGGTGTTGGGGGCTGTGGTGGGAAGGAAGGGGGTGGCCTGGTGCCTCTGGAGAATGGGCGTACCTAGGGAGGGGCCGGGGGGGCATGTGCCACAAGGGAGGATGTCGGGGGGGGGGGGGGGGGGGGGGGGGGGGGGGGGGGGTTTCTGTGCGGGGGGGGGAGCTGTAGGAGGCGGGGCCGGAAGGAGCCATCTCTTCCCCCCTCCCTGTCTGCAGGTGGGAGCAGCCGGGGCAGTTCGCCCTGCCTGCGGAGCACCGCCTGGGCCTCACCTTGCAGCAGTGGCTGGAGCGCTGGACCCTGGCCCTCAAGACCCTCCAGCAGCAGCACAGCTGGGCCTGATGGCCCCGTCCTGCCTGGGAGGGGCTAGGGGAGCCTTGCCCCCAAAGGGGTGCAGTAGTAGGTAGCCACACCCATGTTAGGGAAGGAGTGTGGGTGGGACATACCTCTATGGGGTGGAGATTTGGGGGGTTTAGCCCAGTCCAGTCCAGCTGTCCCCTCTTGCGCAAGGTGGGGAGGGTCAGTGTTAAGGGGGTGACCAGATGCTGGTGGTGGGAGGGTTGGTGGGGCTGAGCGGAGGTTGGGGAGTGGCTGTCAGGTGGGGGGCGGGGGGGGGGAGGAATCCCAGATGGGTTTTGTGGCGTTCTGTAATTCACATTGTTCTGAATAAACTGACTAAATTCACATTCAGGCCCATGGCAGGGACTGGCTGGCTCAGGTGGGCAGGGAATGGGGCACGGGACCTTTCCCCTCTGATTGGGCCCCAGGGCAGGGACTAGCTGGCTCAGGTGCGTGGGGAATGGTCCCCTGCTAGGAGGCACCAGCTCTGTCTGGCTACTCCAGGCCGGCTGGGCCTGTGGTTCTGCCTGGACCCTCCCGCCCTCCCTCGTGCCCTGCCCAAGGGGCCAGTAAAGACGGCCCTGTCCCGAGCGCCTGAGCCCAGGGGTTTATTCCTGTGCTGACGTAGCAACAGCCCCGGCTGCGTCTTCCTGGCTTGTCCTTGGGGCAGGCAGGGATCCCGCCCCTGAGCTCACCGCCCTGGCTGGGGCATCTCCTGCTTGGCAGAACCACCTCTGGAGCCTTTGTGGGGGAGGGGGGTTGGGTGGGCAGCTTCGTCCTTGTCCCTCATCCATGGAGAAACTGAGGGATGGAACAAGGAGAGGTGAGTGGCCTAAACCCAGGAGTCCTGGCTCCCAGACTCACCCCCTCCTGCTTCTTGTTGGAAATCAAGTGGGGGGAAGCTTTGCTGGGGGCCCCCCAGCTAGGAACGGGGGGGTAGACAGCACCTATTGCTGGGGGGCAGGGGGTCCCTCTGGCTCCCTCAGCCTCGGTGCTGGGCTCTGCCTCCTGGGTGATTTGTGGGGGGAGGGAGGGTGCCAGCGCTCTACCCATTGTTAGGCAAGAGTCTCCTTGCTTCACACTATCCTCTGGGAGCGGACAGGGGCCTGAAGTCCCCTCCGCTGACTGGAGGCTGGGGGGATATGGGCTCCTGCTGCCCCGCGTTGGCTGACAGCATTTCAGGCTCTAGGCCGATCCCCAGGAAACTGCCCCAACAAATCCCCGCAGCCCCCTGCAAATCAGACAGTTCCCCTGGGCAATCCCCGCAGGCCTGGTTTCCTAGAGGTGTGACCGGTTTTTGCAAAGCTTTTTTTTTTTTTTTTTGTCGTCTTCTTTTGGCGCTAGGGCTGGGTGGCTTTTTCTGCGCTGCTGTTGACAAGGGCAGTGGCACAAGGGGCTCGGGGGGGGGGAAGGGTGCATGGGGGGGTCACAGATAAGAATCACATTCAGCCCTTGCATGGCAATGGCAGTGCAACGCCTTTTAGTATTCAGGACTATTGATCTGTACAACAGCAGCACCCAAAGAGATCAGAATCAAGGCCCCCGTTGTGCTGGGGGCTGCACAGAGACAGGCCCTGCCCCAGCTGAGATCAGGGCCCTGTTGGGCCAGGCGCTGCCCAGACACAGCGAGAGACAGGCCCTGTCCCAAAGAGTTTACAGTTTCCATACCCAAAAAGTGGGAGGAAAAACAGGCCCAGTGTCACACAGCAACACTGAGAATAGAACCCAGGAGTCCTGGCTCCTGCTCTAACCAGTAGCCCCCACTCCCCTCCCAGAGCCTGGATAGAACCCAGGAGTCCTGGCTCCTCCTACTCTAACCAGTAGCCCCCACTCACCTCCCAGAGCCTCGATAGAACCCAGGCGTCCTGGCTCCCAAAAAGGGCGGGAGTGGGGTCTAGTGGTTAGAGGAAGGGAAGCTGGGCATCAGGACTCCTGGGTTCCATTCCCAGCTCTGGGGTTAGAGTGGGGTCTGGTACGTTAGCATAGCTGGGGCTGGGAGCCAGGACTCCTAGGTTCTTTCCATCCTGCCCTTAACCATCTCGCACAGCAGGAGGGGGCTGGGCAGGAAGTGGTGATGGGGTGAAAACTACCAAGAAATGCAAATCTTCAAAGGAGCCTGTGTCAGGAACCGGATGATGCAGAAACCAGGGCCCTCTCCCCACCTCTAACCCCCCCTTGGCTGGCATTGGATTGTGCCCCTCGGCCCCCAATCCACCCCCTACGGGCCCTGGGGGGCAAGGAATAGACACGGTACTGGGCACCCCATCTAACTGAAGTGTTAAGTGTTGCAGTACCCAAGGTGTGTGTATAGGAGGGGAATGGGGGGGGGGGGGGGGGGACGGATTTGTGCATGTTTGTGTATGTCCCTGTAGTAGTGTTGGATGAGGTTCGGCCCTCAGCGGGGCTGTGGGGTATCCTACCGCCTTGCTCTAGTCTGCCGTCCGTCCGGGTCCGGCGGCAGTCTGGGACGACAGACACACAGTTAGGGCTCAGGCCCGTAAGCAGGGGCTGAGCCAAGAGGTCGGAACCCAGGCCCTTAAGCAAGGGCTGGATCAGTTTGTGGTAGCCCAGGCCCTAGGTCAGGGCGGGGCAGCAAGCAAATAGTCAATCAGGTCCCAGCCTCTCTAGGCCAGGGGAAAAAGGGGGAGTCTGCCACCCAAGGAGTGGGTGGCAGGGAGGACGCAGGCCCTCCCACTCCTCTGTGTCCCAGTCCGGGGTCCTAGCAGCGACGGAAACTCGCTGCTGTCAGTGGGGATCCTGGCCGCAACACACTGACATCGGCTCTGGCAGTGCAGCAGCCAGACTGGGGTCGGCTGCCCCCGGGCTACTTCCACACTCCCCCTCGTATGGTACCTGGGCTGTCCTAAGGTCGTCGGTGCTCTCCACCAGCATCGGCTCCTCTGGGTAGGTAGTGCAGGGCAGGCTCGGCTCCTCCTCGGGGTAGCTGGCACGGGGCAGGCTTGGCCAGTCCTCCTCGGGGTACCTGGCACGGGGCAAGCTTGGCCCATGTTGGTATTAGGGGAGGTTCGGCCCTCAGCGGGGCTGTGGGGTATCCCACCGCCTCGCTACAGTCCCGAGCAGCTGATCCAGCACCAGGGGGGAGAAGATATGTGGTTGGGGGGAGGGAAGGCCTTGGGCTGCACTGGAGGAGTGCAGCGCAGGGGTGACACCCTAAAAATCTGTAGCAAAAGGATGGACAGATGGAGAGATTGAGGTATGTGGATAGAAGAGGCAGCGAGCATAAAATCTAAAAGGGGAGGGGGGGTCTAGTGGTTGGGGGGTTTAGTGGTCCTTGGGCCCTCCCTACTTCAAGGACCCCAAGACTCTTCAAGCACCTTCAAGGATGGTGCTTGAGGGCCCAGGCAGCGGAGGGGGCCATCCTGCTCCCTGCATGACAACAGGGATATTTTCACAAGGGGAAAGGAATGGAACAATTCTCTCCTGTGGGGACACCGCTGAGAGACACTGATCCAAAGCCCACACTTCTGGAAAGCACTAACGTGTGAGAACCAGCCTCTTAAATGTTTTATGAAACAACACTAGAGTAGAAATAAGAAGAGCAGCCACTATCTGGGTAAAGCCGCACCAGAAAAAGAAAAGACAAACTGACAGAAAACACAGCTCAATGTTACAGATAAGACTGACAGCACACTTTTTTTTTTTTTTTTGATGCGTGAAGTGGATGGAGCAAGTTTCTATTCCATCTCCCTGTTCCAAAAATCCATTTAATATTTAAAAATTTTATTAAAGTTAATGTTTAAAATCAAATTTACACAAGTTAAAAGGGAAGGTATTGCACATCTGGGATCAGGCTTGGGTTATGGGGGATTACAAGGTACATACATATCACATCACATAACCAACATAGATCCAGATTAAGATGCAGAAATTTTTAAAGCATCAGGAGATTTTAGCCATAAAAGCAAAAAGAAATACGTTTATTTTGCAACACTGCGCTACGCTCTTGCTCCCATTGCTTTTTATGTCACAGGAGCTGCTTTGATAACTTCAAAAAGAACAGGAGTACATGTGGCACCTTAGAGACTAACAAATTTATTAGAGCATAAGCTTTCGTGTAGCCCACGAAAGCTTATGCTCTAATAAATTTGTTAGTCTCTAAGGTGCCACAAGTACTCCTGTTCTTTTTGCGGATACAGACTTAACACGGCTGCTACTCTGAAACCTTTGATAACTTCGTAGCTAAGTGGCAATCGCTGCACTGAAGTGACTCCGATACACTCAAAGCACCAACTCTCCACACCGAATTCTGCTCCCACACAGAGAATTCTCTCCGCCCGCTTCCTTCCGATCAGCCAGCTGCTCTGTATTGCCGCCAGACACTGCTGATCTGCATAACCCCGCCCACTGACGTGTGACGCCTTCCTTCGGTGTCAACTACTCTCGCTGCCTGCAACAGACGCTGTGAGCCACGTGCTGCCGGAGCCCCGCTCTCGGAACCAGCCCGTCGGGGCGTGTCCCTCTGCCACTGATCCAGCCCCCGGGCCCGCACCGTCCCTGCCCTGCGCTCCCCCCAGCTGCTGCGCTCAGCGCAGGGAGCCGAGCAGCGAGAGCCGGGCTGTGTAGCAAGGGGAGTTTTCTGGGGGCGGGGGGTGTGCAGGGGCGATGGAATTTCCGCTCCCTAAAAGTGGGGGGGGGGGGCCACCAGCACCGCAACGTGGCCGCCCCCCTTCCTCCGAGCCCCTCCCTCACGCTTCACCTTCAGCTGCAGGCTCTGCCCTCGCTCCGCCCATTCCCCCTAATCCCCGTCCCCGCATCGCTCCTTCCCCGATGCCCCGCCCTCGCACCGCCCTCATGCCTTCCCCGAATCCCCGCTCCCACGTTGCCCCTCCCCCTAAGCCCCGCCCATTCATCCAAGGCCCCGCCCTCACATCGCCCCTTCTTCCGAGTTCCCCCCCTTGCGCTTCACTTTCTCCCCGATCCCCCACCTCTTCCCCCAAATCCCCGTCCCCGCACTGTCCCTTCCCCCAAGGCTCTGCTCCCA